GATGACAAAAATGGGGGGGGGGGGGCTAGGAGTGGGGAGAATCAATATGCTATTGACCTTGACTTCTAGCCTGTACGTGCATATGTACCCACATGAACATATATATGCTCATACCACAGACACACACACACACACACACACACACACACACACACACAATGGAGTCTGATTTGTATTGGCCAACTAATCCTGACTATGAGGCCTGCCTACCTCGGTGTGTGGTTGACATACCCAGTGCCACTCCATTGAAGAAAACTGATTTCCCCTCTCCTAGAAGAACCAATTGCATTTTCCAGACACAGCAGGGCCAATGCACACATATAAACTCAAAGAGACTTGTGACAGCATGTAGAAGACCTTCGAAGGTTCAAGCCAGACAAAACTCCAGCACAGGAGAAAGAAATCAGCACCAAGTCCCACCCCTAACCAAGAAGGCACATGCCTTAAATCCCAGCACTCAGGAGGTGGAGGCAAGTGGGGAATCTCTCTGAATTCAAGTCTAGCCTCTTCTACATAGTGAATTCCTGGCCAGCCAGGGCTACAAGACCCCGTCTTATAAAAAAATAAAAATAAAAAAGGTAGAACTTAGACATGTCACCTTTTGTCAAGTCTAGTGAGTTCAATAGCATGTATAGAAAATTCCCATCAAGAAAAATGAGCACCAGTATATGAGTCCAGAGATGGGACAACTCTTCATGCAATTGTGTATGGTAGTTACTGGTGCCACCCAGCACCAGGGCCTATTTCATCTCAAAGTTCTCTCTTCCAAGACCAATGAAACCAGGTGTGCTCGTTCTTATTCAAGACAGACCAAAGAGGCAGAAACCTGTCCCCAAGCATGGAATCTCTAAATCCACTTCTCAGTCTTCTTGAGCAATATTGTTACATGTATTTTTATGAAACAATAGTCAGTGGCACACCTAAGGCTAAGTGATTTAAACAGGGCCCGCCTCTTCCATATCTTGTCAGATCTCTGGGAAAAAAACTGAAGTTCTGTTTCACAGGAGGAAAGGGTCAATGGCTATTGAGTCAGAAACTAGTTTTCCATCTCATCCACCTAACCACGAGGTCATCCTGGATGGTCAGATTGCATGTACAAGATCAGTTCCTCTAAGAGTTGACTCAAATGTCAAGGAGAAATCTTGGTGAAGCATGAGAGATCAGTGTCCAGTTTTGTAGAATCCAACAGCCATCAAGTGTTCAGGAAGCTATTCCCTGAAGAAGAGCGTGTGGTGGGGGATCTGAGCCAGGACACATTCACCTCCAAGAAGCCATAAGCAACACGGAGGATGTGGCCCTCACTAGTCAGAAGTCAGGACACAGGAGGTGTCATGTCTGTGACCATGGCAAAGTCAGACCTTGAGCAACCTAGGCTGTTCCTGTTTATCTGTCCTCATGCTTAGGCATGCCGTCTCCTCACCATGTTACCTACAAGTGTTGGTTGCACAGCTGGATGAGAGGTCTCAGGCCACATTCCCATCATGATGCATACCTAGAAAACTAGGCTTGCCAGACACATCTGTTCCCTATTCCCCAAATGCCCACCCCGGCTGGAGAGCACCTGCCCAGATTCCAGACCCCCCTAAATCACCTCCCTGAAATTGTTTCCCCTTATTCTTTGTGCTCCCATCAGAGATTTGCCTTTGACCTTGAGGTCATCTTTATTAAAATTGCAGTTTCTTTCCCAGGTTTTCCCTCTAGATTAGAAAACAAAGCAAAGCAAAACAAAACAGAAAAACCCCTCCCTTTTCCATTTACCTCACAGCTTGTCTGAATAAGGTTACTGACTTAAATTGTCAAATAACGTTACTTCTGTTTCTTTCCACTGTGTGTGTGTGTGTTTTCAGGTCTGTGGGTTTCCTCAGGCCATACTACCTTAACAGACACAATATATTTTCTCTTTTATCTTTATCAAACTGACTTTTTAAAAAAGACCCAATTTCCTGTTATTGTATTCTGCTGGTCTATGGGCATTAATCTCACCACTCAAACATAGTCAGATCCTCTGTTATAATACATGTATATAGGTGTTATCAACTCCCTCACATACCTTTGTAGAATGGTGTAGTGGAAAATTACAATTTAGACTAACACTGACCTAGGCTTTATTCATTGTTCACATATTAACTCTTTGATCTTAGGCAAGTTTCTTAGCTACTTTAAGCCTGTTTTTTCCATTAAAGGCGGAAGAGGAGGGACTTATGTAGTGAGACCCTGTCAAAAAATTAGATAATAAAACTATAGGTATCTTATTTAACACTAGAAAATGATAGCAGCTTGATAAATGTTAGTGCCCTAGGCTCAGTTAATCACAGGTGACTGGTAGGGCTCCTAGACAAACCAGCAGTGATTATTACTTGACCTGCCTGTCTCTTTAAAGAGTTAGGGCCAAGACCTTGGGTAGTCTTGCTGTCCTGCTTTGAAATTCTATCTTGGGTAGAGCCTTGGTTGTTTCTCTGCCTGCCTGCCCTGACTTTCCTACCCTCAGCTGGCAGGGACTCCAATCCAGGGAGCCCCTTGCATGATGCACAAATAGCTGCTGCTTGCTAAAGTAGGCAGGTTGACTGGGAAGCAGGCAAATGACCAAAGCAGCGTATGGAAATCCCCACCCTCCACGACACAGAAAACATCACAGCCACACCTGAAATCCTAGCATGTGGGAGGCCAGGCAGGAAGATTGCCAAGAATTCTAGGCCAGCCTGGGTCATCTAGTGAGTTCCAGGTCAGCCTGGGCTGAAGTGACACCCAGGCTCAAAAAATAAAATGGAGAAAAACACCAAAAAGGCATCACAGGTCTAAAGCACGCTTGGTCTTTGTTCTCCAAATGCTCCAGCCCTTTTTTCTACCTCTCTCCAGAGAGGCTGAAATATGAAGCCATTTGCAGATCAATTGATTCCAATTAAAAATTTAAAATGCCTTCCAAGCATGCCAAGAACTTTCACACTTCAGACACTTCAGTAACTTTTTTTTTTTTTTTTGGTTTTTCGAGACAGGGTTTCTCTGTGGCTTTGGAGACTATCCTGGAACTAGCTCTTGTAGACCAGGCTGGTCTCGAACTCACAGAGATCCACCTGACTTTGCCTCCCGAGTGCTGGGATTAAAGGCGTGCGCCACCAACGCCCGGCTCAGTAACTTCTGCCATCTCAGTCTCAACGACAAAATCTGCTTTCCCTCCCCCCCTCAGCCCTGCCCTCTCCATACCACCCTTCTTCCTGGGTCACACTGTTCTTTAAACTTAATTTGGTAATTTGTTTAAGGCATCCAGTTGCCATTTGTTGTTTATAGGTTCTCCCTTGAAAAGCGGCATGCAGGTCCTTAGTGTGTGCTTAGTGAGTGTTTGTTGAGATGGAAACTTCAACAGCACATTTAACAATGTCTAATTTTTCCTCAGCGTTAGGTTGTTCAGTACAGTGGGTCCCTGTGGAGTTAGCTTTTGGATGGTTCCAGGCTAGTGAGCACTCACTTAAACTTTGGGAATAATAGGGCAAAGGTACTACCAACCCCAGCAGCCAGGATGGAGACCCAGTAAGCCCCAAGACCCCCACTACTGCCCCAGGAGCCAGGGTATCAAGTTTCTTGGTTTAATGTTTGCATAGCCCATATTTACTTCTCAGCAGTCCAAAGTGGATCCCCTGGGTTTGTTTAGAAGTTTCTGAGAAGTCTTCAGATGTCTTGGGAATGTGGAGCTGGGATTCAATGGATCTAGTTCGGCATGTTTGTCATTTAGCATTAAGTATGACAGTCTCGGGTTCAAATCCCAGCTTTGCTGCCTTCTCGGTGTTGGTAAATGTTACCGCTCAGAGGCTCCATTTCCCTCAGCTCTGGGAGAATGGTGATGAGTGAGTAATACATATATAAAATGCCCTTTGGTTGAGCACCAAATGAGTATTTCCTAGGTTGTCATTCTGATTTGAGGTTATTGGTATAGATGGGGTGGTGACTTGGGGGTGATGTGTTGCCGTTTATTAACTATTACTAGGTGGAGGTACTTGCAGAGGAGTGTCAACTTAGAGTTAAAGGAGCTTCTCACAGCTGCTTTTGTTGAATGAATGTCAAAACAGTACGTGCTGATGTTTGCAGAGTGTCTTAAACCTTTTATGGGGCTTTCCGGTTTTCGCTGCCAGTGCTGTTTCTGTTAATAGTCCCAGGCATTCCCACTTTGAACTGTCCTCCTACCCCTTGCCAATCCCCAAATCCTCCTGACAGGGCATCTGCAGTGTGTCCCGCGGGCTCTGCGGACCTAAATTCTCTGCCTGCTTTTCCTTTGACCTGCTCTGCCTGCCTCTGTTGACCCAGGGTCTTATCTTGTCCATTGGAGGTATGCTAAGTGCTGTACCAGCCTGCCTGTTAGCCTGGCCTGTTTTCTCTCACTGCCAGTACCTCTTGGATTCCAATTCCAAACATGGTATCCCTCTGGGGTCACCCTTTCTTCCGGTGCCAAGAGAACACGCATTCCAAATGGAACACAAGTGTGTCTCTCCTGCTGGCTCTCATGCCTCATTCTGCTTGGGAACAACAGAGAGCAGGATGTGGCTTGGTTGCCTGTGCTGCTGAAGTTTCTGGTGTTGGGACCCTACTTTCTCTGAGGACAATGCATACTTTTTGCTGAGAACTAAATATGAAGAATATCCTAAGAAAGCCGGAGCCAAAGAAGTTTAGCAGAATGCTGCAGAGAGGACAAGAGTGGTGCTGACAGAAAGAGAGAGAGAGAGAGAGAGAGAGAGAGAGAGAGAGAGAGAGAGAGAGAGAGAAGGAAAAATCCACCCAAACAACAAACCTAGGATTTCCATCTTCAACGAAGTGTAGTATGTTTTCTCTCACTGCATTCTTTTCAAGAGCCGCCAGAAGCATTCCTGCCAGCAAAGGTAGAGTTGGTGGTGAGAAGCCACCGGGGAGTACTGATTAATTGATTTTTTTTTCTTGTGTGGAGAGGCCTGGAAAGGCCCTGAGAGCCCCAAAGATGAGTGTCAACAGCAGCACACTGGGTCAGCTCCTCTGGCGGGGTCCTGTGTGCAGTAGCTGGAAGCAGAGTATGGAAGGTTCTGTCTACCACCTGGCTAACTGCTTCTTGCTCATGGGCTTTATGGCAGGCAGTGGAGTGTATGGATGCTTCTATCTTTTCGGCATCCTGGGTCCAGGCTACCTCTGCTATGTGCTGTGGGGCTGGTTTGATGCCTGCGGGCTAGACATCGTCCTCTGGAACGTCCTGCTGACCGCGGCTTGCCTGCTTCAGCTGGCACATCTAGTCTATCGCCTTCGGGTGAATACCCTCCCGGAGGAGTTCAATCTCCTCTACAAGACTCTGTGCCTGCCCCTGCAGGTGCCCCTGCAGGTCTACAAGGAAATTGTCCACTGCTGCCAAGAGCAGGTCTTGACACTAGCCACAGAGCAGACCTATGCCGTGGAGGGTGAGACACCCATCAACCGCTTGTCCCTGCTCCTCTCTGGCCGGTAAGCTCTTCTTTGTTGTCAATGCCTGGAATTCCCCCCAGCAGACACTTCCCATGTCCTAGTGTCCCTTTCCATTTCGTGTCCCCTTTCATCGAGGGAAGGATGTGGCAAGTCAAACAAACCCAAATAGATTTTTCTAGGAGTGACTTTGCTTCCTCTTTCTTGGCACTTTCCAAGAGGAAACTAGATCATGGGGCATCTTCCAGGCTGTCAAGGGTGACTGTGTTCACTGGCTGCTGCAAAGGCCTGTAAGGCTAGGACTGAAATGCACACACCCACCCGCCCGCACACATACAACATTCACTGCCCCAATGTAACAGCAGCCTCCCTATGAGCTTTAGAAAACTGACCATTTCTATAAGATTGATTTGTTCATTCCACACGCATAGTTGCTGAGCACCAACTATGTACAGGAAGTAAACCCAGAAACAGGAGGTTTGCAGTGACCCCGTTTCCTGCCAGGACATCAAGGAAGCGCCCTGTTGTATGCTTTGGAGTGTGGCCCATGTACCGACAGTTACTGAGAGGAAATAGCTCTGTCTTATTCCCAGTCCAGTTGCTCTATTGAGGGTCTCTAATCTGCAATTGAGGGTCTGTAATTTGAGGACTGATGGTGACAGAGGAGTGTGATGCCCACAGATGTCCCACTGGGGATTTAGTGGAGACTTGTGCCTCAGAGGAAGAATGACAGCTGGACATTGGCTGGCTTTCTGATCAGGGTGAGTCTTAGCTTCCATGACAACAGTGACCATTGATGTTTAATGAGAAAACACCATGGGCTCTGTGTGTCACGCTTCATAAACATCTGTTCATTCTTTGAAATGCTGCCCTGGTAGCACTTGACCACAGACAGTCCCTTCCATCATCTTGCTGGAGACCACGTGTGGCTAAAAGAGATGATCATCGAGCACTCTGGAAAGAAAAGGGAAGGGGGAAATGGAAGGATGAGGGGAAAGAAGGGTAAGGGGAAAGGAAGGGGGAGAATGAGAAGAAAGGAAGGAAGGGGAAAGGGAGGAAGGAGAGACGGAGGGAGGGGAGGAAGACAGACAAACAAAGATGGCCAACTATACAATGGGGAAAGAGAGGTGTCTGACGATGGTGAGACAACTGCTGTCCAAGTTATAGCATGCATTTATGTCTGAATTTATAGAATCCAAATTGTTATGTAGACTCTGGTTTTCTGTTTGTTTGTTTTTTTTGAACTCAGAAAACATGAGTTGATTGAGTTATGAAGGGAGAGCTTCTTTATGGGGAGACACTCGCTTACAGTATGAACAAATGCTATGACCTTTGACAAGTATGCACTGTGATTATTTCCTGGGTGTTCACCACCTAGCTCCATGCTTATAAGACAAACAATGAATGTAGGAAACTTGCTCATTCATGGGTTCCATGTTGTTTGCTCCTCATGGCTCCTCTGTTCAGTGGAGGGGACTGGGGCTGGTAAAGGACAGTCTCTCCACTGCCTGGTGTTCATTTAGCAGAAACATACAGTTATCAGATGGCTCTGATATCTTGTGTATGACAAGTTTACTGTGAGCTTGTATGGGCCTGTGCCCCTGAGAAGCAGGGACAAAGCTTAGCTTTCTGCACAGCTTTTCCTAGTACACTTCGCGTCAGCTCTCATCAACAGTTAGAAACCATGCCGTTTTGACTTTTCTCTGGATTCTCAAGGTTTGGAGAGAGGGTTTTGTTACTGTTCCTTTTGGCTTGTCATTCTCCATTGTCTTCCTGTCTCAGCTTTGCTGAATGAACTTAGAGGGGAAGGCTTCTAGTCAAAGACTGGGCTCTGGATTTAAGAGGGAATCACTGCATCTGGCATAGTATGATCCTTAGTGCCTCCTGGTTACAGAAAGACTCCTTCTGTGCCAGGAAGTACAGGCCTCTTATGCAGACCTCCCTGTCCTTCAAAACTCACATGCAATGCCACCTTTGAGAAGTCTGCTCACTGCACAGAACCAGGCTCTGCCCTCTCCCCCTTCTGTGAGCCTGCTCTACCCCAGTACTCAACACACTGATTTGCAGTCAGTTATTTGTGTGTTCGAGGTTTCCACTCAGCTGTAAACCTCTCAAAGGCAAGGACCAGATTAGTCCTACCTCAGTAGATCCTGGTATTCAGGAACATGTAAGGTTCTGTGAATATTGGTTTAGTTAGAAAAGCTCCAGAACTGAGGGAAGGCCAGCTCCTTCCGAGTGTTTGTGTGTGCCACTGAGATGTGATTGTCTCTTTCCTTCTTTGCCAGATGTAACTCACTTTAAAAGAGAAGGCAAGTGTGAAAGCCTGGGTTTTCTGGGGAATGCAGGAAAAGGCCTTTACTGGATCTTGATCTATGTCTAGATCCTGCATCCCAAACCACTCATTTTATCCAGGCATACTGCTGACAACCAGGTCCTTTCTCTGCAAGGACAAAGCACCAGGGTAGCTGCTGACCATAAGGCTAGAGAGACAGCAAACTGCGTTCGTGGGGTTGCTAATGCCGCCGAGCTGAAAAACAAGCCTGAGGTCATAAGAAAGGCCAGAGCAGTTGCTTAACTTGTTGGTAATGTGGAATAATTATATCCATAAGATTAAAAAAAAATGAATTAGAGTTCTTGGCTGCAGCCACAGAAACCCACTCTGTCTAGTTGATGTGGGGTGGAGACCTTCAGGAAAAGAAAATAATTTCTTTTCAAACTTAAAAGAAAGGCATGCAGCCTGGCTTCAGGCTGGAATAACACAAAATCATGTCTAATGGGTATTCTGTGTGAATTTATATTTTCCTTCCCTGTGGACAGTTGGGACACATCCTTTTATAAAGACTGAATTCCATATACGAGAGATGAGGTTTTAGTCCCTGACCACAGGAGCATGTTAGTTTAAGCAATGTCTGGTAGTTAGTTGTCTCTGTTGGAAGCACAAGTAACAGTGACCACTGCAGTTCCAGACTCAAACAGCTGAGGTTGGAATGGCGCTGGGCTAGGTGTGTATCCAAAGACCATCCTTTTGATTGCTGAGGATCGAGAAGGGGTGATGTCAAAAGTGTCCTCCACCACCCACCCAAAACTCTAGTAACATGACATCACGGTAAGAACACAGGAGCTCAGTTTTGTTTCCTGGTAGCCATTTGACCTTAAGTTTTCCTGACCATCTGTTTTCGTGACTGTAAAACTGAGGGGGTGGTCTACCTGGTACTGCCGTGATGACTGATGGGTAGGCAGATGTGGAGTATCCGCCCGTCTTTCTCACACTCTGTCTTCTTTCCTTTGCACACATGTGCTACTGCTGCTCATGTAGTCTGTCCAGAAGATAAACAGCAGGGCGGCACCTTCCACGGCAATGGTGACATGCTACAGCCACGCTGTACAATACAGCAGCCACAGACTGCACACAGCTATAGAGAGAAGCACTCGGGGTGTGATTGGTGTGACTGAGGAACCAGACTGTTAATTATACTTAACCCTAATGAACGTCACTCTTAATTGAAACAGCCACCCATGGTCAATGGACAGCAGAGGCCCAGCACAGTGGTTTGCATGCAGGACACATAGTGGAATCACTGGAGAGATTCTTTTTTTTTTTTAAACATAACTTTTTATTGCTTCTTTGGGAGTTTCACATCATGAACCCCAATCCCACTCATTTCTCAGTCCCTCTGAAATTTAAAAAATACAAACAATCAATTTCCTAGCTGACTGGGGAGATTCTTGAATTAATAGTGTCCAGACCTCACCTTCAGAGATGTTTCTTATTTATTGCTTTGGGATAAAGGCCTGTGTCTAAGGCAGTTTTCAGGAGGGTTTCCTTCCTTCCTTCCTCCCTCCCTGTTTTCCTCTCTCCCTCCCTCCCTCCCTTTTTACCCCTTCCTTTTCTCCTCCTCCTTCTTTGGTGTGTGTGTGTGTGTGTGTGTGTGTGTGTGTGTGTGTGTTGGTGACAACGGTCGTGTTGGTGGTAGAGGTGATACAGGGTCTTCCTCTAGTCCTTTCTGGCTTGGCACTTATTATGTAGGCCAGGCTGGCTTCACACTCATGGCAATCCCCCTGCCGCAGCCTCCCCAGTGTCGAGTGGCCATTCATGGACTCACACACACATGATCCACTATGCTAGGCTCATATACACATAAGCCACTATTCTAGGCTCCTAAGAGTTTAATGCCCACCCCCTCCCCCAGGGCTCTAGTTCTGCAGTCTGGAGTAGAAAAGGGTGTATGAGAAGGAGGAGGGTCACTAGAGCTTAGTCTCCATGTTTAATCGGGTCACATCCACTTTGGCCTCTCCACACTTTAGTTGGTGTTTCTGCTGGAGGATTTGAGCTGATCAGCAATGACTTCAACAGAGGGCACATGAGCAGTCATTACCCTTCCCCCATTCAGTGTCTTCTCTCCTCTTGTCAGGGTTCGAGTGAGCCAGGATGGGCAGTTTCTACACTACATCTTTCCCTACCAGTTCATGGACTCTCCCGAGTGGGAATCACTGCCGCCTTCTGAGGAGGGGACCTTCCAGGTAATAAGGAGCCCCATGGCAGCACTGCTCACCTGTCACTGTAAGCCCCCAACCTCGCTGCCTCCCCCTCTCACATCTGCCCTTTGACCACCACCAGATGTGATGCTAAGAGTGGGGGAGGTCATGATCTCTGCCTGCTGTGGGAGAAGAGTGCCCGGGCTCCCGGGTCTGGGGAACACGGAAGGGTGGGTGGTGTTGGTCCCTGACAGGCAGTCACATCACTTGTGTGCCTACAAAAGACTAATGCCTAAAGGATAAAATAGCCCATCCTACATAGAGTAACTGGAACTCTTAGCAGTCCCTGGCTGCAGCTCCGGCCCTCCTGGTTCATGCTGCTCATTCTAGCTCTGCCAAACACCGGCACCTGCATACCTTAACCCTGCTGCTGCCCCTCTGTCTGAAATGTGTTTTCCCTTCTGAACAAGCCACCATGCTCCCCAGCACTGTTCTATGAGGGCTGCTCAGGCTAAGCTTCCCACCTCTATGCCTCACGGCTTACTGCAGCCATCTGCCTGCTTGAGCTCTTCCCTTTGTGTGTGCTGGCTGTGTGCATGCTGCTGTCTATTCTAAGTCCCAAGAACACATTTTTTTTTTTATTGAACTGGTTGTCCATGAGCATCTGGTGTCTCAGAAGACTGTATGGGTCACTCACACCCATGAGGCCCCAGAGATCCTGGCCACTCAGGCCCTGCTGACCTCTCTGCAGCCCTTCACATTTGTGGTTCTGGAGTGCTGATGGCTAGAATGTGGCCCATGCTGCATATTGCATTATATTGCTGATTCACACAACTTGCTATTGGATATTACTGTTACTCTGTTTAACAGACAAAGCATCTCAGGTTCCAAAGCATCATGCACTCAGCCAAAAAGTGGCAAAGCCAAGAAGGAGCCTGGATCTACTGTCTGTTTTCTTTTTCTTTAAAAAATGAAAGAGGCATCATAAAAATGGTTCACTCAACCCTCTTAGGGACTCTGCCAGACAGTTTGCTTGTCCCAGGGTCTGTGTGTCTTCTGTGACGTCTACCAGAGAGTCCTCTAGCCAGCATATGAGCTAACCCCGGAACAGACATATGCCAGGCAAGGCCACTGTCTGGGCCAGCTTCCGTCCTAATCCTAGCTCTTAGCTCTAGGGTGAGATTGTCAGTGACAAAGTCTTGCTGCGATTGCCAGGGCCACTAGCCACTGACCCCCTCCAATCACACAACCTTTGTCTCATCCCCGCCATCTCTGCCTCACCCAGAGGCATTCTCCGGGAACTCCCTCAGGCCAGGAGAATGACCAGAAGAGCTGAGTGGCCGGAGCCAGCCACACCAGGCTAGGGTACTGACACGGAGGAGCAGGTGGTGATGTGGCAAAGGAAAGGCTGTTACCCCAGATGGCCTCTTGGCCTGGATTGTAAGCATGCTCATATTCCTCCCTTTTATGTCTTCTGTGTGTGCTTCATTTAGAAGCAATGAGATCCACTCCCTTGCTGTTGGCTGTGTTAAGTCCCATTTCCTCTTGGCAGATATCAAATGTTGTTGGGTTATAGTTCATCTTCATCTTGCCTCCTACGTAGCTTTGTTGACTGGAAGAGCAATTCTAGTGACCACCTAAATCACAATTCACAACACATTTAACACAAATCTCAGCCTCCCATCACACCTCCAACAACCCAGTTACCCTAGATCTGCTGACTGGTGGCACTGTGACACTTTCATTAGTCGTCAAGGCACATCCCACAGAATTTATCATTAGCCTCCAATCAGTGTCCTGTTCTACTAGACTCCTGTCCTATTTACATATGTTTTCATAAAGAAAAGCTTGACACTTATCGAAACTTTATCACAGACAGTCCTGTATGCATGTGGGAACCAATAAAAAGCAGATTTCTGGCAGTTAGGGCATGGTGCAGTAGGTCAATGCTTGCTGTGCAAGCATGAGGGGCTGAATTAAGATCACTGGCACCCAACAAAAGGCAGGGCACGGTGACATGTGCCTGTAATGCCAGCACTGGGCTAGACAGAGACAGACAGATCTGGGGGCTTGCTGGCCAGCCACTCTAGTTGAATCAAATACTAGGTTAAATCTTAAAAAAAAAAAAAAAAAAAGATGTAAAGCCATAGAGAAAAGTACTTGAAGTCAACTTCTGCCTCCACATGCACAGGCCAACACACACCCATATTTATATATATGGGTGTGTGTGGAGATATATATATACCCCCTAATATACATGTACACAACCATACACACATACCCCCTACACACACACACACACACACACACACACACACACACACACAAATAAAAGAAAGTAGATTTCTAGAGCACCTTTAGGGAAGGACTTTTATAAAGATTTGTTCTTAATTATGTGTGTATGTGTATATGTGTGTGTGATGGTGATGGTATGTGCACATGGGTGCAGTGCCCTGGGAAGCCAGAAGAGGGCATTGGCTGAAATTACAGGTTGTAGTAAGTGGCCTGACATGGGTGCTGGGAACTGAACTCTGGTCCTCTGGAAGAGCAGGAAGTGGTCTTAACCACTGAGCCATCTCTCCAGACTCTAAGGAAGGACTTTATAAGACATGAGAAAGTGACACTAGGCTGTTTGACAACATACAAGACTGTTAGCCTTCACTTGCATCATCTATTCCCTTCAGAGGTGCTTATGGAGAACTTGGTATATGTATCAGGCACTTCTGAAAGAGTTTAGAATGCATCATTGAACCGCACAGATCCTGCCCTTACTCAGTTTACATTCTAGCAGGAGAGACAAAAATATAACAAATAGATGAATATGTTGGAAAATAATAACTGCTAATTAAAAGAACAGCAGAAAACAGTGCAAGGTTGCTCATGGGTGCCCTTGTTAAACAGGTGACAGCTGAGGAAAGGCTTGAGAGTAGACAGTGTGCACTCTGGTCATCTGTGAGACACAGGACAGAGCATCGTCAGGCACAACTGCTCTGTTGTTGGCACCAGTTTCTTGTCTGGGACTTTCTGGCAAGGACATATAAGGCAGATGCTATGATTGAGTGTGACACATTCAGTCATTGGTAACAGACGGATTGTGAGTGTTCTCTTCAGAATTCTCTCAGAGGCGACATCCCGGACATAGTAACTTAACGGATGTTACACAGCTGTCGAAGGGGTAGAGCTGAAACCAGAAACCAGACCCTGGCCTGATGACTAATTTAGGGCCCTGGTCTAACCTCTAGACAAGGCAGGGAGCTGTGGGGAAATAGGAAGTAGAGGATGGTTCAGTGGGCACTGAGGAGGAGCCGGGAGTGATGGGAGGTCAAGTAGCCGAGGTCAGATTTTTTAACTTGTGTCTTTTTAAAAGATTTATTTTATTTTTAATTGTGTGGGGGGGATATGCACACATGAGTGCAGGTAACTGTAGAGGCCAAAGGCTTTAGATTTATTGGAGCTGAAGTTATAGGCAGTTGTGAGTTGCCCAATGTGGGTGCTGGGAATCAAACTCAGTTCCTCTACGAGAACATCGAATGCACTTAACCCACTCAGCCGTCTTTCTGGCCCTGAAAAGCAAGGATTGGAGCAGTTGTATATAATCCCTAACACAGAATGCTTCAAAAGACAGTGCCGTATTTCACAATCAGTATAAAACACCCAACGCAGTGCCTGGCACATAGTCACCACTCAGTAAAGGTTAGCCTCAATGTCCATCTTCGCCACCCCCTCCTTCTCCACTCACAAACACACCCTGACCCTGCCAGCCAAAGGGCTGTGTCAACCAGATCATTACAAACTGTCTAAGTTTATCCCTGTTTCTAAGCTATCCTTGGAATGGTTCCATTCTAATCTTAAGCTTTGCTCCTCATCTTTGGTTTTGGTTTTGAGACAGGGACTCACTCTGTAGCTCAGGCTACCCTAGAACTCACTGTGTAGCCAAAGGTGGCTTCCAGTTCCTGATCCACTGCCTCCACCTTCTGAGTGCTGGGTTTACAAGCCATGAGCCACCATGCCTAGCTCATCATTTTAGCAAGGATTATGGAGGCCTACTGTGCGCCAAACATGCATCGTTGCTCACTTCTCCTGCTGGCATAATCTAGTTTGCATCCCGGGCACAGTGACTCTGCAGAAATTCCTAGGCCCTTAAAAAAATAACTGAAGAAGGGGACTTGTTCCACTCTGCCCATGGGTTTCTTCTTCTCTGCCTTTATTCCTCCTGGAGTCATGAGATCCCTTGGGCTTGCAAGCAAGACAAGAGCAGATTCGGGGACCCGAACCCCTAGTGCTCTGTCTATCTACCACATCTTGGTATGCTTAATCTGTAGCCTTTTCTCTCAATAAACTTTTTCCCTCAGCTCTTTTGGTGACTATGCCACAGTGCTTGGTTCCCCTCCCCCAATACTAGAAATTCAACCTTGGGCCTTACACACCTGTGCTAGGCAAATGCTCTACCACTAAGTTATCTCCTTCCCAGATCTTGAGTTTCTCCTCTAAGGTGCCCAAACTGGCCTTGAACTTGTCATCCTCCCATCTCAGCCTCCCAAGTAGCTGGGATTACAGGCATAGGTCACCAAGCCTGGTTCTTACTTCTTTTTTCTTAAAGAAACGAACAGTCTTCAGTTTGACCTCTTTTCAGTGCCCTAGGAAGCCTACCTCCCTTCCTTATCATTCTACTAAGAATCTTAAGCAACTATTGTTGTCATCAGCAGTGGAAACACAGAATGTAAGAACCAAGGAGAGGGGATGAGCAGACTGAGGCTCCAGGTAATAGGCAAGTGAGCATGGGACCTTCCCCACCTCCTGACACAAGGCATGAACATCCACAGTGCACACAAGATTCCTGTCTCTGGACTTCCTCCCGGCTAGGCCAGGGAGAGCTACGAAAATCAAAATAGCCGGGCTTCCCTGCACTTTAAACCTCTCTGCTCTTAACCCCTCAGGTCACACTGACTGCTGAGACTGAATGCAGCTACATTTCCTGGCCCCGGAAAAATCTCCACCTTCTTCTGAGCAGAGAGCGATACATCTCCCGCCTCTTCTCAGCCCTGCTGGGCTATGACATCTCCGAGAAGCTGTACACTCTCAATGACAAACTATTTGCTAAGTTTGGGCTGCGTTTCGACATCCGTCTCCCCAGCCTCTATCACGTGCTGGGGTCCTCCGCCTCAGATGGAGGACCCGAGTCTGAGAAGGATGATGAAGAAGTCTTTGAGGCAGCTGTGTCCTCTGCCCAGGCCAGGCCCATCTGTATCCTGCCAATGCCCCCCTGCTCCCCAACTCCAGCTACCACCAACTTCCCTGCGCCTCTGCCCCGGGCCAGGATGTCCAGACCTGACAGTGGCACCCTGGGTGAGGACTCCACCAGTCTGGTGCTGGAGGATTTTGAGGAGGTTTCAGGATCAGAGTCGTTTATGGATTATAGGAGTGATGGGGAGTACATGAGGTGAGGGCGGAACTAACACGGGCACAGTCACCAGCTAAGGATCCTGTGTAAGTATGCCGACGTGAATTTGTCCCTTCCTGCCAGTGCAGGTCCTATCGGCTTCTTAGGGCTGGAGCGCTGCTTCAGAGTCCCTCAGAAGACTCTCTGGCTAGAACCCAACTGCGCGCTCGCAGCAGGCACTTGCTTGCATGAAGGATTTTCTAAACCTACTCATGGCTGTGGTTGCATTTCAGAGAATGCGCTGATTGACATTTCATGCAGGCCAGTGGGAGGCTAATCTTTTGAGGGTGGGAGGGGCTAGGTTTTGCTAACAGCTAAAAGCACTGCTGGGACTAATGAGGTTTTGTCTGCAGTATGTATTTCGAAGGGAAGAGAATGCTGGCATGGCTCTACTGATGATCTCACTTGTGTGCAGATAAGTTCTGGGAAGCAGCTGACATTAAGACTTGACTAGAAAGGACTGTTAAAATCAAAGAGACTGGTGATGGCAGGCACATAGTCCTGGGAAGCAAATGACCCTGTCATGCTTTCCTCCTGCCCAGCGGTAGATGTGCTGGCCACTCAGGCAGAGGCCAGGACACTGCTTTGATTTAAACATGGCTGTGACAGCTGTAGGGCAGCCTGGCTTTCCCCAGCAGCCCATGTGTGTGGACAGTGGCCTGGACCCGGACCCAGGTGGCCTCCCGGTGCAGGCAGGATTTCCAGGAAGGCTGTGACCCTAGTTCTGGGAAGTGGCTTTCACATTCCCCTGACAGATCTTACAATACTGTGACATTTTCCTCCGGGCTCTACCCAACAGTGGTGGAGGCTTGGCTTTTCCTGAGGAAAACCCCACTGTCCACAGTCTGGAAGGCATTTTATGTGACAGGGGAGCCACCGCAGGGACCTACCTGGGAAGCACCGACAAATTTGAGGAACTAGCCCAGTGCAGAAGGCTCCCAGGTGCACGGAGTGAATGAGTGGATGTGTATTTCCAAAACAGTCCACATAGCCGATGAGAGAGGCAGGAGAGAGATAAACGCCATGAAGACAGACCTTGGCTTTAGAGATGCAGAAGTTGTTTTCTCCCTTAGAGTAATTGCAAGGCTGTGAGACCCACGATCACTTAGTTTACCTTCCTGCTCACTGGTCCCCCTCTGTCTTTCCACACCTCCTGCTCCATCCCCTTCCTTGCTGACCAGTGTGACCTGTGGGTGCTTCCTGTTGTCCAGCCTGACTCACCACCTCTTTGGCTCACAGAGCTCTGACTTCTGGCTCTTTTCTGTTCCTGATTCGCTGTAATCTCAGTTTTGTATCTCTAAGTGTCCCTTTCCCCCCCCCCCCCTTTAGCTCTGTTGCTCCACCCCCTTTGCCCAGGCTCTGGCTTTGCTCTCCCTTCTCTTCCCTAAGCCACCAACTTTGTGTCTCCATTTTGCTAATTTTGAATGCTAACTCCTCCAAGGTCAGTACTCATTTCTCTGAGGATAAAGAAAACCATTCAAATAGAGGTCCCAAAGCCCCAGCTTGAAGGATGTTTCGAAAACATCAGAGGACAGGCAGCATGGTAAATAAAAAGGAGACTAGAACTTTTTTGTGCCTGGCTCCTCAGCAGTGAGGACAGTATATACTACATGTCAGTATTAGAAATCACCTCAGCAGGAATAATCTTTGGCCTGACTCACTTTGTAAAATTGCAAGAAGTCTGGGGGTCCTTGCACGAGCTCTTCATACACAGTGTGTATGTAATTCACAAGGCAGGAGCAATCCATTGCTCATACCAAGCTGAAATCCTGCTAACTTCCAGCCTTGGGTTCATTTCTCCCCTGTAAGATTCCAAATTCCCATAAGATCTTCCCCAGAACCACTGTTTCCCCAGAGCCTCCTGTGTTTATCCCTCTGTTATTTAAATAGCAGAGAGGAAGGAAACAACAGGTGGCTTTTACTTTCAAACCACGGAGTGGAGGTGAGCACGCAGTAATAATTGGTCATATTTTAGACAGCATCCATGTGACTGATGGTGTCCCTTCCCTCCCTGAAACCTACCCTTTGTCTTCCCACCCCATGGGAAAGGGTTGGTGGGGACAGCAGTCCCAACTCAACAACAAGCAGGACCCAGTGGAAGGGGTTTGGTTTCTAACAGCTGGCAGAATCCTCTCCCAACCGAGGAGCAGCCTGGGAGGAGGCTGAGAGAAACCATGTCTAGCCCGAGCTTCAGAACTGAGTGTGCTCTACCTCATGCTGCCTACTCTCCCACCCACTACTGTGTGTGTGTGTGAGAGAGAGTATCTGTGTGAGCCTGTGTGTGAGCATGTGTGTGTGTGTGTGTGTGTGTGTGTGTGTGTATGTATGTATGTATGTATATATGTATGTATGTATGTATGTATGTATGTATGTATGTATGTATGTATGTATGTATGTATGTATGTATGTATGTATGTATGTATGTATGTATGTATGTATGTATGTATGTATGTATGTATGTATGTCTGTGTGAGCGTAAGTGTGAGTGTGTGTTCTGACAGAGACAGAGCTGTCACATTGCCTTCAGACTCTTCCCTCAGAGGGAAAGCCAATGGCTGCCAGTCAAGTAAACAGCTCCTGGGTAGACATTTTGCTCTTAGGTTGTCAGACTCTGGAGTCTGCACATGGCTGATCTGCTGGCAGAGGGCCCCTGTGTGGGTCCGGTCCAGGGCAGCAGTCCCTCCCTGCACAGTTCTCAGGTCTTTCTTCCAGTGCTGTGCTGCAGGCCTCACCTTCCCACCCCTTTGCAGAAGTGAAAGGCAGGGTCTTAGAAGGCTTGTTGAATTTCAGTGCAGGGCTGGGGTTGTCTTTCTTATCATCCATGAGCAGAGTGGGAAGCAGAGTGCTAGATAACTTCAGAAGTGGACCCTGCCCCATATTCCAGAGCAAAAGAACTGAAAGGCACAACTGCCAATGGCTAGGCATTGGGCATGATCCACAGGGGAAATAGAAAACCCAGCAAAGATCCTGTGATACTGGGCAAGCCCTCTGGAGTTAGGTGCTAATTTCCTTCTTCTTCTGTTTCTCCCCACAGCTTCCAGAACTCCTCTCCAGAACTCGTCTCGGGTTATGTCCAGAGCACAGGCCCCTTTGGCTCCAACCCACACCCCTGAGCTTTGAGGATTACAGAGCCATTGTCTCTGTGGCTAGATGGCTCTCTTCCATGCACCCTGGATGGCCCCTTAGACTCACACCCCTCCTCTCATCCATCAGAAAGATCTAGGGCAAGATGGGGCATGGGCATGCCATGCCAGCACCACAACTGCCCCAAGGATGACATGGAGAAACGTACCTTCATAAACCTTCCTCCCAGGAGGAGGGTCCAGAGGCATCAGGCCTGACTCCATCTTTTATGGGTTGTGGGACCTTGACTAGTTACATGGCCTCTGAGCCTGGTCTGTCAAGTGGGGCTATGAACTCACCTCACTGCATTGTTGTGAGGATCCAGTGAGCTGACTGGATAGAGCACCTATGACGTGGCACGGCCTTGAGGGTGCATTCACTAAATCACTCCACGCCTTTCCCGGTGTTGTGGCTTTCAATTGTCTGAAAGGATCCAATGACTTTTCCCTGTGATTATTTTTTGTCCCCAAATAAGTTTCTATTGACATAGAAAATTTTAAATCCTGCCGGGCAGTGGTGGCACATGCCTTTAGTCCCAGCACTTGGGAGACAGAGGCAGGCAGATCTCTGTGAGTTCGAGACCAGCCTGGCCTACAAGAGAGAGTTCCAGGACAGCCTCCAAAGCCACAGAGAAACCCAGTCTTGAAAAACAAAAACAAAAACAAAAAGAAGAAGAAAAAAGAAAAGAAAGACAAAGAAAATTTTAAATCATAATATTTTCAATTTTTAAGTTTAAAATACAAACAATTATGTCCTGATTAGGAATCCAGTATTAAATGATAGCTCTTAGAAGAAGTTTTATAAGCTTAACCAATTTGTTTTCCTTCCTTAATCATTTAAAAGTGACTTACAAGTTGAATCTATTCTGTTCTCTTTTTATCTGGTTATTTATTTTGATTGAGACAATAGCTTACTGCTGTACCTGAGGCTAGCCTTGAATTGGCAATCCTCCTGCCACCCCTTCCTGAATGCTAGAATTACGGGTGTATAGCACTATGCTTTGCTGAGTATATTCTACGTTGTTTTTCCTTCAAAAGTTCAATGTATGTTCTGGTTACTTAATGCTGTGTAAAACCTATCTCTAATACAGTGGTTTAAAATTGTTACAGTCATTTGTTTTGCTCACGCAGTGGGGATGAGCTGAGATGGTTATGCTCACACAGCTCCATGCTGTCTCACGTGTTACTGCTTTCAGCACGGACTTGGAGCAGGAGTCATCTCATAGGCCTACTCAGTCAACTGTCTGGGGCGAGACTAGAAAACTCAAACAGCTGAGGACTAATCAGCTGGGGAAGTTCGCCCTATCTCCAGTGGTTGACTCTGATTGACATGTAGCTCTCTAGTGTGGGAATATACCATGATGCACTCACTCATGCATTCTTCTGTTGGTATGCACTTAGATGGTTTCCAGCTTGGAGTGATTAAAATAGTTTTCCTGTTGACATCCTTGAACAGATGCTTCAGTATGGATTCATTTGCATTTCGTATACCTAGGAGTGGTACCTACCTCAAAGAACAAAGCTTCCAGCATATCCATGTTCAACTACAGTGGATTATCCAAATCCTTTTCTTAGGTGGTTGCACCAACTTGCATTCCTTTCAGCAATGTTTGAGAGTCCCTCTCCAGTAGTTGTCATGATTTTTTTTCTAATCTTTGCCTTTGGGGTATGAATAATAGCATCATTTCATTATGGTTACAGTTTCCATTTTCCTGATGAATACTAAGGTTGAATACCTTTTCTATCCCCCCTTTACTTGGCTAGACCGGAGGCTAGCAAACTCCAGCTATCTCCCCACCACCATCTTCCTCAAATCTGGGGATAAAGTGCCAGGACACTTGGCTCATTACATGGCTGCTGGAATCCAAACTCCATTTTTCATGTTTGTGTACCAGGTGCTCTTAACCACAGAGTTATCTCTCCAGCCCCACCCCACCCCATCCCCATGTGGGTGTTTTCTGTTATGAAGTGGCTAGTCTATCTAGTCTCTTGGCTATTTCTCTGTTTGCTTGTTTCTCTTTTTCTTACTGATTTATAGAAATATTTTAAATAATGAGGTTCAAATACCATGCTGGCTTTTACACATTTCCCCCAGTACAATCTTTTTCCTCTAAATGATGTCTTTTGATGGACAGAGGTTTGAGTTCACTGTAGTATCGGTTTTGCCCTTTTCCTGGGACTAGAGCTTTCTGTGTCACAGTTAATGATCTTGTGTTCCCCTGAAGATGGTCTCCATCTCAGCCTCCTAGATGTTTTACTGTTTATGATGAGGCCAAGGACAGCCTGTATTTGGTTTTGGAGTATGGCATGAAGCAAGGGTCCATTTGGGTGTCGAATTGCCTAGGCATTAGTTACTGAATGGCTGGCATTCATCACAACCTTTGTCATAGTCAAGTGTCCCTGTACCCGAGGCTCTTCTTGACTGTGTCATTGCTCTATTTGTTTTTTGTTCTAGCCCTGTACTCCATCCTGGCTCTCTTTGTTCTGTATTTGTATCCATTAATAATGCCACCTTGTTGTCATTATTGCAGTGTTTTTGCTCTCTGACAATCTAGACTTGTTCCTCAAGTCTTGGTTATTATACATCTTTCCTTTTACACATCTACATAAACTTTACAACCAGCATGTCAATTTTGAAGCACAAACAAATCAAGTGTGAAAAAGAATTATCTTTTCTCTTTTTTATTGTAAAGTGAAAGTTTTATTTTTTCCTTTTGAAATATATTTTTAGAAACAATCTTACTTTACATATCAACCCCCCTTCCCTCTCCCTCCCATCTGCCCATGCCCCCCACTGGCCCCCCAACTCACCCCCCACCCACCTCCAAGGATAGAAAGGTCTTCCATGGGGGATCATTAAAGTCTGTCACATCATTTGGAGAAGGGCCTAGGCCCTCCTCCATGTATCTGGGCTGCAATAGTATCCCTCCATAGGGAATGGGCTCCCAAAATCCATTTGTGCACTAGAGATAAACACTGGCTCCACTGTTAGAGGTCCCATAGACTGACCTGGCCTCCTAACTAGCACCCATATTCCTAGGGCTTGGTTCAGTCCAATGCTGGTTCCCCAGCTTTATGACTGGAGTCCATGTGCTCTTCTAGGTGAGGTCAGCTGTTTCTGTAGGTTTCTCCAGCATGGTTTTGACTGCTTTGCTCATCCCCCCTCCCTCTCAACAACTGGATTCCAGGAGTATGGCTCAGTGCTTAGCTGTGAGTGTCTGCTTCTCCTTCTAGATCAGCTACTGGGTGAAGGCTCTAGGATGGCAAATAAGGTAGTCATCAGTCTCATTATTGGAGAAGGGCATCAAAGGCAGCCTCTCCACTCCTGCCTAGATTCTTAGTTGGGGTCATCTTTGTGGATCTCTGAACATTTCCCTAGTGCCAGATTTCTCTTTAAACTTATACTGGCTCCCTCTATTAAGGTATCTCTTTTCTTGCTCTCCTCTATTTCTCCTGTTATTCAGTCTTCCTGATCCGTCTTGTTCTCCTCCCCCCTCCTCTTCTCCCCTTTTCTTTTTCCTACCTCCCTCCCTTCTCCCCACATGCTCTCAATTTGCTCAGGAGTTCTTGTCCCTTTCCCCTTCTTTGGGGGACCATGTATTTCTCTCTTAGGCTCCTCCTTGTTTCCTAGTTTCTCTGGAGGTGTGGCTTGTAGGCTGGTAGTCCTGTAAAAGACACTATCTTTACAACCTGGATTTTTAAACTTGTGAACATGGATTAGCATTTCATTTATGTTAGTCTCCTTTGTTTTTTCACAACCATATTTTTTTGAAGTAGATGTCCTTGCATAATTTTATAGTTATTTGGTGAATTTGACTGATTATAAAATACCATCATTAAATATTTTTACTTTCTGATTGTCCATTGCTGCTTACATACTACAACTAATTTTTGTAACTTCAACTTCCACCCATTGATTATGATAAATACATATATTAATTCTCATCATTAGTCTATATGTTCTGCAGCATTTTCCAAAGATAAAATAGTGACAGTTTTATTTCTTCATTCCTGACCCATACCTCTCCTTCTTCTCTCTCTTCCCTTTCTGGTACCTGTGGGTTAGGTAGGACCTTCATTACAGGGACAGTGTGGATGGTAGACCTGTGTGTTAGGTAGGACCTTCATTACAGGTACAGCATGGATGGTAGACCTGTGTGTTGGGTAGGATCTTCATTACAGGGACAGCATGGATGGAAGTAGACCTGTGTGTTAGGTAGGACCTTCATTACAGGGACAGCATGGATGGAAGTAGACCTGTGTGTTAGGTAGGACCTTCATTACAGGGACGGCATGGATGGTAGACCTGTGTGTTAGATAGGACCTTTGTTACAGGGACAGCATGGATGGTAGACCTGTGTGTTGGGTAGGACCTTCAGTACAGGGAAAGAGTGGATGGCAGAGGAATCTTCCTTTTACACTTATCTAAAGGAAAATATTTTTGATATTTCAACACTAGTCTAAGGGGTGCTGCTTTTTTTTTAACTTAAGCAGGTAAAAAAAAACAAAAATAGGGTGTCACAGTGTTTTCAACAAGCAGCCTTCCTGTCTCTGCCCTGAGTGTGGCTATCACAGGCACACACCAAAGTATCTGGCTATTAGTAGCTTTTTATAATGCTTTTTTCTTTCGGATGAAAGTTCTCTATATTCCTAATTCTTTAAAACATGAATGACTGTTGATCTTATTAAAGGTAGTTGGCCTTTGAGGGCGGATTGAGGCACTAAAGGAGATTCCTGGTAAACAAAACATGCCTTGTGAGATCCAATTTTCTGGTAAACAGAAACCAAATTTTAGGCTCTGTTTACCCAGTAACAATCCTCTGTTTACCCAGCCAAAATCCTTCTGTTTAGGACATTGTCACCAGCACTGCCATTTTGGGGACCCGATTTGGAACTAACAACCATAAGGAAAATAAATAAATATGTGTAAGAGCTCATCATTCTCCAGCTCAAAATTTCAAATGATTCTCTGTTCCACTTGAATAAAATCTGAACCTCTTACTGAATGACATTGGCATAAGGTTTAGTCACTGAGGGGCCCTGTGACTCACAAGGGCCTCTGTCTGTCTAGCTGCAGTTCAGTGATTCAGTTTGATTTTGATCACTGGGTGCTGTCATCTTCAGGAAGAAACATCCTGTTTTCTTTCCTTTGCTCTGAACTGGGAGCATTCACTGCCATTCAGTGATTAGACCTTGTCACACTGACCCAGTTAATAATCAGCTTCGACTTTTGTCATAGTAACGGTTTCTACTGCTATGAGGAGACACCATGACCACTGCAACTCTTATAAAGGACAACATTTAATTGGGGTGGCTTACAGTTTCAGATGTTCAGTCCATTGTCATCATGGTGGGACATGGTAGCATGCAAGCAGACATGGTGCTGGAGGAGCTAAGAGTTCTACATCTTGATCCAGGCAGCCCAAGGAGACAGTGTGCATGGCTTGAGCATATGAGACCTAAAAGCCTACCCCCACAGTGACACACTTTCTCCAACAAGGCTACAAATACTCCAATAAGGCCATGCCTCCTAATAGTGTCACTCTCTATGGGCCAAACATTCAAATATATGAGTCTATGGGGGCCATACCTATTCG